GGATTCGAATTTTTCAAAAAAAGTTTGAAAGCTTGAGAGCCCTTCTATATGTAATTAAATTTTCAAGTATTTAAGAGCCTTGGTTTTTGCTGTGCAAAATTTTGAAAATTTGCATTTTTTTTTCAAAATCTGGATTGCAAAATTATTATGCAAAATCTATCGAACCGATTTTGATGAAATTTGGTGTGATAATTCTACGTAACATGAAGTTTTTTTGAGCCAAGTATAAAGGTCCTATACCCAATTTAAATACCCCAAAAAAAATTCCATAAAAAGTATTGTTTTTTTAACCGCATTTTTGCGATTTTTTCGATTTTTACCATAATAATCATGATTCATTCGATTTGTAACTAGACATGTTTTGTAAAAAAATGAATTGCAAAAATGTTTTTCCTCTTCGATTTTCGCCTAAAATCAACTCTTGAAAAGATACATAATTAAATAGGAAGAAAAATATGACATTTTTCCAATTTTTTTAACATATTGTGCCAAAAGTTAAGCCCACTTTTTTTTTATGCGTATAGAAAAATTTTCATTTCTAGTGATATTTGAAAGCCAAAAAGCCAAAAATCTCCGTGGATATACGATTCACCCAAACCAAAACAGGTACCGCCTGGTCTATTAATGTAATTATTGAAGAATACAAATTTGCAATAAACCTAGTCCCATTAATACTGCAGAGGAATTAAAAGAAAGTATAATTATAGATATTATACCCGCAAGTAAAACATGTGTATTCATTTAATCACCCTTTATAACTCTTACAACAAACAATAACCTAAAATTAATTAAAATAACAAGAATATTTTATTTAAATCCCATACCTATTTAATAAGTTGGTCAGTGAAATAATTTTTATTCTTATCAAACTTATTTGAATACACTAAATACATACCGATAATATTATCAATACTAATTCAATAGATAGTTTTACTGGCTTATTCCTAATAATTAATATTTAATTATGAACAATAACGAGCTACAGAAACTCGGTATTTTCTATTTACATCTTATATTTAAAGACATTAAATTAAATATACCATAAGTAAGTATAAATGTTCTTCAAATTCTAAAAATGTAAAATTTTTTACTGTATACCATTAGAACCGCCACAACCACCGAATCTATTAATACCTTAATTTATAACACTAAGGTGTAAAATAAATGAGCTAAAATATAATTCCTTATCTTACTCAAAATGTCCAAAAGATTTATATTTTAAATTTTACAATTCAATTATAAATGTATTAATAATAAGACGGTAAGTTGTCATCTAATTTGTGTAATACAAAGCAAATCGACAGAAGAGGTTTTCTTTATAAAAGTATTTTTAATATTTAATTTCAAATGCATCTTATTAAACTTACTTCATGCAATATTTTTTTTAATATTTACCACTCTCTAAAACGAAAATCTATTTAAATATTTGCCACCACATAACTGTTGCCTGCTCCCTTAAAGTTTTATTTGATTTTCCTAAATTACTACAAATGTTTACCATCTAATGTACAAATAAATAGATGCAACTACCCCTCAAATACAGATTAGATACAAACTCTTATATAAATATTGTTTGAACTCTACCTCGACAGTTGGGTTGAAACAAAGACACTGAGAATAAGTGTTTAACAAGTGACGTAGCGGCACCAGAGAACATGGATAGACCGTTGTGAGTATTCTAAAAAAATAGTGTTGATATTATACGTACGATCATTTTCACTTCATAACAAGTGCATATGTTTTGGGAAAGATACCATAAATTCAGGAACTGATAGAACATCAAAAAGTAATAGTTTTTTTTACGAACCATGGGCCTGTAGTCTTTTGTTTTTAAATTACAATGTTTTAAGTATGATTTTATCAAATAAAATTTTAGCCATATTTCAACAATAGAATGCATTTAAATTCGGTGAGGATAAGTATTTGAGGATGGATAATTACGTCATTCTTGTTAGTTTTTGACGCATTGTAGATGTCGCTAGCTGTTGCTACCGTTCCTATGACATTTTATGACATAACATGGTTAAGGTTAGGTTCTTTACAATGCATGGCATATATTACTACATATTATTTCATTTTACATAACGTTTTTTTTCAAAAATGGCGAGTATGCAACAGAATCTGCTCTAAAAATCAACCAAAAATATTTATATCTGCAAATGTAATTAGCGACCTATAGTAGATGGTAAAAAAAAACAAAAGCGAATAGGCTAATGGTTGATAGGAATCTTATTTTTTGATGTTCTATCACCTTCTGAATTTGTGGTACTTTTTTCAAAATACCCTGTATAGTTAAATGCAGTTAAGAAATGCTTAATGAGATATTACATAAATATATGTTAAAATTTTAAAGTTTTTTTTATTGCTTTCGTTAGAAAAAAAAATTAGTTAAAAATAAAGAGAAAAATGGAAAGAAGATAATACGATTATTATTATTAATATTATTGTAAGTCTTTTAAATATTCTTAATAACTTTTACCATCTTTCTAAAAAAAATTGAGACACTAATTGTCTACTTATTTGTCTCGTTTTTACCAAATGAAAAATTTTCAAAAATATACAGGGTGACTCACAAGTGGTGACCAAAAATGAAACCTCGTGTTCTTTGGTGAATTTTAAGGAAATTGTTTCCTATAAAGTTTTTATCTAGGACGTTTTTTTAAAAAGATACAGGGTGTTAAACTTCAAAAAAGATTTTTAATTTTGTTAAATAATTTAAAAACTAGTAAGTGAAGTAATTTGAAATTCGGCACATGTATTTATGTAAACATTGTCCAAAATCTGAGTGTTTTTCCTAAAATTAACATGCTCCAGTGGCGAAGATACAGGGTATCGGTGGCATATTTTTCTAAATCAAATAGTACGCTACTGCTTTACGGTAACAACCATGATATTTTCGGA